CATGCACTCACCAGATAGACAGAGAGACAGAAAGCAAGAAATCACACCCCATGGGGGATGGCCACACCACAATCCTTTCTCCTCCATTCTCCTCTCAGGATCTTGGGCATGCACGCACATGTGCCCGGTGTGAGTTTAAGCCACTGGGCCCAGGACTTGAACCATGATTGTAAGTCACCCCAAAAAGGGTATAGTTTAAAGGGGAACAAAAGGAGCCAAAAGATGAAGTTCTAAGGAAGCCAACATTTTTAGAATAAATTGAGTAAAATGACATAATCAAAAACAAGTGGCTAAAACAATATTTTTCTTTTCTTTTCTTTTCTTTTTTTAGTGATGTTTTTGCTATAGGGCATGTGAGCTCACCAGAAAGAAAGAGAGAGACAGAGACAGAAAGTGAGAAATCATGCCCTAGGGTGGATGGCCATGCTGCAATCCCTTCTCCTCCATTCTCCTCTTGGGATCTTGGGCATGCACACACATGCACCCGGTGTGAGTTTAAGTCACCAGGTCTAGGACTTGAACCGTGGTCGACTACATAGGAGTCCGCGACATAACCATTACGCCAACTGCTGGTCTCAATATTTTTAAAAATTGGAAGTATGGGTCTAGCTGTGGCAGGACATGCTGAATGCTGGTGCTTGGCAAGCTGAGACTACATGGGAGGCTTGGGTTTGATCCTCTAATCTACCTACCAAAACATCCTGGTATGAAGGCACAAACCTGGGGTTCTAGCTACTTGGGAGGCTGAGGCAGGAGGAGTGAGATCATGGCCAGTGTGGGCAACATGGTGAGACCCTGTCTGAAAGAGCCAGATGTGGTGGCATGCCACTGAGGTTCCAGATACTCTAGAGGCTGAGGGATAGCACATAGTAATAACTGCCTAAAAAATAACTCAAAAACACCAAAAAAAAAGTATAGTATTGTAGAAGTTGGAATAAAAAGAGAGTGCTATTCTACAAAGTTGAAAGTAACATGGAAAATGAAGGTTTGACAGTTTTAGAGGTTACTAGTAGTCTTAGAACAATTTACAGAGAAGTTAGCAAAGAGTACTGATTACTTTTTCACAAGTTTTACAAAAGAGAGGAAATAATGCCTTATACAAAATTAAGGAATTTATTAACATTGTTATCGATTCATTAATAACTCATTGCTTCTATATAACTTGGATTTTACACCGTCATTTCTCTTGTTACTTCTTTCTATCCCTATTATACCAGTGTATGCTTCCCTGACACACCTGGAAGCATTAAATGTTTTTTTTTTTTTTTTTGGATGTAGATAACTTGTTTTATTTGGTTATGTGTTTTGAATGCCCAGGTGATTATACCTGTCTTGGAGGACTGGCTATAGAACTCCATGCTTCAACCTCATCATCTATTTTCCACTAAGATAAACATTTACTTCTCAGACCAATTAGGCAAAGCATGCAAGTTCCTAGGTTCTGAGCAAACCATGTACTTTGTCGCCTTGCCTTCCCACCTCCTCTCTTCCAAACCCTTGGAGGGTAGATCTGGAAGAAGAGAGCTGTCATTCCAATCCTTCTGGGATATGGTGTCCATATCCAGTTGAGGAATATGTTTGGTTTTGCGGTCAGCTGAGACTTTCCCTTGTCTACCCTCTTCAATCCAGCACTCTCAGAGGGGGCAGAGAGTAATCAACATCGCCGTCCACCTGTGCACAGGAAGATGCCTACAGCCACACCGGCGATGACGAAACTGCCCACCAGGACGCCCAGGACCAGCGAAGTGTAGGAGCGGCCCGTTTGGCTCCCTGCAGAACATGCAGAGAGTTAGCCTGAAGAATGTGCCCTTAAGGAGTCGACAATTTAAGTGAAACCCCAAAGGATTTCTGCCCCAAAGGAAAGGGGCCAGCCAGTTCACCAAGTGACTTAAGCTGTGTGCCCTGTGCCAACCTCCCCAGTCCTGAGCCGCTTGTCGTTCCAGGTCAGTCTGTTTGCCTTGACCTCCGCCCACCCCCAGCGCACAGGTCCGGCCGCAGTCCCATCATACCTGTCGAGTTTTTGGTGGAGAAGTGTTTCTGCACATACTGCACGCAGGTGTCCTGCAGGAACTCCCGTAGTTCGTACCGAGTACGGTTGTAGGCGTTGAGCTGCCTCAGGGTGTAGGTGACCACTTCGGAGGGCGCCTGGGCGCTCGCCACCCACGAGGCCGTCTCTGGCCGGAAACTCACCAAGGAGCTCCCGTTCACAGCCACTTCGAAGAAGACGCGGGCGCTGGAGCCCGCAGGCAGCTCGGGGGGCAGCTCGCAGCCCAGGAAGCAGCGGATGACCAGAGGAACTGTGGATAGGATTCGGGGTCAGCGGGATTCCGGTGTGCACAGAACACAGGGGGCTGGGAGCGGACGCGAGTCTGCGTCAGGGAACTGCGGGGAGAAGGGCCTGGGGGCTGTGGGGAAGGGGTTGGGGTCAGACCGTTGGAGGCTATGTGAGGAGGCGCCAGTGATTCTGAAGAAAGGGGGACTAAAGGGGTTATGAGCGGAGGGAGTGGGGGGGCTCTGAGGGAAGAAACCGGGGCTATGAGGGGAAGGAGGTGGGGGTTGTGAGGGCAGCTCTGAATGAAGTCGTCAGCTTCTGTGAGGGGAGGGGGCGGGAAAGTGGGGAGTTCTGAGTGAACGTCGGGGTGTCAGGGAGCGGCAGGGACCGGGCCCAATGGGAAGAGGGCCCCCTTAGCGGGGAGACTCCAGCAATCTTCGAGGGCCTACTGGGGCCCCTCGGGGGCGGGTCCGTCCCGAAGACCACGCCCACAGGGCTGATCCCACCGCCTGGCCTCCTGCGAGGCCCCGCCCCACTCCCCTCAGACCACGCCTCTCCACCG